ATGTCCATTAATGTGGTTAATACTGACAACTGGGTGACTGCAGGCAACACACTGTCATTGACTCATCGCAGCAGCTTGGAAAGCACAGAGGAAAGTTTTAGGAGTTCTTTTTATCTTTTCCCTGACTTGCTATGACCACTTCCATTCAACAGACCTTTATAGTACAACTACTCTCTGTTAGTTACAAGCTGGGGATACAGAGAAATCAGATCCCATCTCTTTGTTTAGCAAGGGAGGAAGAACAGCACAAGTAATGTTCATAGAGCACAGTAAGTACAATGATAAGGACATATACTTACAGAGTTCCTTACCCTGAAAAATTGTTCTCACTGTTATCCCTGATAGAACTCCATTATCTCCCTCCTAGCAGCTATCAAAGACAATAATAAAAACACCAACAAACAAGTACAATTCCCGATTGTGTCCTATATGGGGCACTGAGGCCTACGAAACTTGTTGATTATGTTGCAAAGAAAAGTTAATTATAAAGCAAACAGATTTCATTGCTTATGAGAACATAGAATATGAGGTGTCAGGGGGTCCCCAGAATTCATTCAGGTTAACTGATTATGTGTGTTTTTAAATATGTTTTTATGATTTTAGAAAGAGAGGAAAAGAAAAGGAGAGGGAGAGGGAGAGAAACAAACCAAAGGCTGCCTCTATAGGACACCTACTGGGGTTCAAGCCTGCAACCCAGGCATGTGCCCTGACCGGGAATAGAACTTGCGAACTCTTGGTGAATGGGACAGTGCTCCGCCAAATGAACCACCACATAGGACAGAGCTAGGTTAACTGCTTGTTTAAAGTGTAAATGGCTTCTCTCCTTTGATCCCCCTCCTCCTACTTCTTTCTCTTTAAAATTGCTGCCGCCCTAACTGGTTTGGCTCAGTGGATAGAGCGTCAGCCTACAGACTGAAGGGTCCCAGGTTTGATTCCAGTCAAGGGCATGTACCTGGGTTGCAGGCACATCCCCAGTAGGAGATGTGCAGGAGGCAGCTGATCGATGTTTCTCTCTCATCGATGTTTCTAACTATCTCTCTCCCTTCCTCTCTGTAAAAAATCAATTAAAAAATATATTTTTTTAAAAAGACAGCTCTTTAAAATTGCTGCCGCCCTAACCAGTTTGGCTCGGTGGATAGAGCGTCGGCCTGTGGACTCAAGGGTCCCAGGTTCGATTCCGGTCAAGGGCATGTACCTTGGTTGCGGGCACATCCCCAGTAGGGAGTGTGCAGGGGCAGCAGATCGTCAATGGGGCAGCAGATCGATGTTTCTCTCTCATCAATGTTTCTAACTCTCTTCCTCTTCCTTCCTCTCTGTAAAAAATCAATAAAATATACTTTTTAAAAAATAAAATAAAATAAAATTGCTGCCATCTCAGGTCTTTACTTGCTTGATCCTGAGGTGTGTGGTTGAATACTCACTAGTAAGTGGATTATAAAAGATTATGGACTGTAACTTCTGATAGCAGCTTTCTTCTCTCCATTGAGAGTAATTGTAGGTTTTCTATTCTGTGAGACTTAAAAAAATTAATAGTGACTTCAAAGGCTATTCAAGTCATACTAATTTGGAGGAAACGATTAAATTGCAAAAGGATAATTAGGCCGATTTGAGCTAACTAGGTTTAGTTAATCATGATTTCTCAATAAGAATTTATGTACAGCCCGGCCATTGTGGCTCAGTGGTTGAGCATTGACCTATATCAGGGTTCGATTCCTGATCAGGGCACTTGCCTGGGTTGTAGGCTCCACCCCCAGTGTGGGGCATGCAGGAGGAAGCCTATCGATGATTCTCTCTCATCATTGATGTTTCTGTATCTCTCCATCTCCCTTCTTCTCAGAAATCAATTTTAAAAATAATAAAAAATAAAAGAATCTATGTGCAGTCATATTTTTAATGCTGTTAACCTTTGAAAGAGATGGAGAGCCATCTGCTTAATTACTGCCAAATATACTCTGCCCCTGGGGCTCTGGATTCTGAGTAGACATGTCCTGTCAGCTTTAGACTCTAAGCTAGAGCTAAGCTTTCTTGTGTTCATCAATGGGGGAAACTGGATAGGAAAGGCAGTTACCACTGGGGAAAATGCTATCCGTACCCAGTGGTGACTGACTACGCCTGGGTATGAGCACACTGCTGAGAAATGTATAGAACTCCCTGAAAAAAAACAAAAAAAACCCATCTCTCAACATAGTAATGCATGCTGAAGGCATCTGTAATGCTGCCAGAAAAAGAGAGATACAGTATATTCTTCACACTCTGTATCGATTTATAGTCCCCCCCCCTTCTGCTTTGATTTGGCTGGTGTGCTAGATAGTCCAAGAATCTGAGAAGGTGAGAGCAGGAAATGGCACCTAGACTTCATCTCTTTATTTATAGTCTGCCTCGTTCCCCAGAATTTATATCAGTTCAGGATTCGTACAGTTCAATCTACTGAAAAGATCAGGAAACTGATTTGCTTAGAAGTTGCCCCCCGCCCACCCCCCAAATCCTATAGCTAGTTAGTGGCAGTGCTAAAATTGAAACTCCTACCTCTGTCTCCTTATTGAAGTGATTGATTGTTACTTTTTTTTTTAAAGCTATGTTAAATACAAACTATTTGCCAGGCACTGCATTTGCCCTAGATGATGTAATACTAGTAGAGATTAGGAAGGACATGAATCTTGTCTTTGGAGTGCTTACCCTCCCCGGGCGGGGCAGGCCAGTCGCAGATTTGAAGCAAACATTCATACAAATCGGTTACGTAAATTATGAAAGAAACAGTCCTATGATCATTGTATAGGGTGCTATAAACATATAATGGAGATCCTAGAAGGCTTGTTCCAGGAAATGACATTTATGGTGAGCTGTGAAGGAGGAATAGGAATAAATCAGACAAAGGGTCTGGGCAAGAGGCATGCATGCAGAGCAGAAGAGAGGAGAATGAATGAAGGCCCTGTGGTGGGAGGAGCTTGGCTCAGCTGAGAAATGGAGGGAAAGCCAGCATAGCTGGAGTGGAGCAAAGCGAGCAAGGAGACAAGAGGAGGCCAGAGATGGGGACTGGGCTCAGACTGTCCAAGGCCTCATGGCCTCCACAATTCTGGGCTTAGGATCCTAAGTGCAATAAGAAGTCACAGAAAGATTTTAAACAGGGCATAGAAATACCAGATTTTTGTTTCAAACCATAACTTTGCTGGGTGCAGAATAGCTTGGAGAGAGAATGAAGAGTATAAGTAGGGAGACCCCATAGGATGCTCTTACATTAATACCGGTGAGAAATGATGATGGCTTATACTAGGATAGGATGGAAAGAAGTGCAAAGATTCAAGATACGTTTTGAAGGTAGAATCAACAAGATTTCTTTTTTTTCACAAGTCAGGGTTTTTTATTTAATACATTCTAATCCAATCATAACAGCAGTAAATAATCACTTTGAAAAACAGGCAGGTATCCCCCTTTCTCTGGAAAAAAATTAAGTCAACGTTTTCTACATGGTAGAAGGGAGGCAACTGCTGGTGTCCATGGTTAGACAATTCAAGAATCACTTGGAAATGTCTACAGCCATTTCCCCCAAAAAATCCATGGCAACCGGTTGGGACACAGCTACTTCAAAGGGTAAATGTCCTATTTCTATGTGGTTTTATTAACAGGGACTGGGTTGCACTCGTATAGCATGGATTGGATATATAATTGAGGTGTGAGAGGTTTCAAGAATGACTCTCGGGTTCTTGGCTGAAAAACTGGGCAGATACTGTTGACATTTACACAGGTGGGAAGGAAATTGACTGTGGAAACCTCTGGGGACTGAGTGGGATAAAGAGCTCTGTTTTATTTAAGATGCTTGTAAGATGTAGAGTAGGGTGTGCAGATCATAAGCCCAGAAAAACATCTGGGCTAACTATGTGAATTTAGAAGACCCCGATATATAGACAGTCTTTGAACTTAAGGAAATAATTTGCCTAGTTGAGGTTCTTGACCTCGCACTGGAGGAGAAGGATGGGTGGAGTATAAATTTAATAGAGACATTTCAGGTGAATGCAGGCATGTGATTAAAGCCCCAAAACAGAAACAGTGAGGGCCAATTGATCTTTTTCTAATTGGTGAGAAGTGAAAATATGGGGTGGGATTGTGAATGCCCTCCTAAGTCAGGTAGTGGCTATCTTATCTACACTGGTCATCTTGAGAGATCTGTGAACAGTCTTAAATCCTTACACAGCAGTAAGAAGCATTTTTTGTGCTTCATTAGTTTATGTTGTGAAACCTTAAAGTTGGACTTAACATAAATCTTGAGATAATGGTATATTGGTTGTGCATCATGAAGACTGAAGGGTAAATCTCCCACAGAACCACCGCCTACCATTTGTTAGTAACATAGTGGAAATAAGCCCAAATAATCAGACCTGGAATTGTAGGAGTTGTACTGTGCCTGTCAACCCGGTGATGAAGTTTCAGCTCCCACCTCCTCTGCTCCTATGAAGATGATGAGGAGTAGGATTACCCTAACCCACAGAGCCTTGCATGTCTGGATCTCTGCTCTCCCCATCCATCACTCCTCTCACAGAGTCCACCCATGTGGGGACTGTCCTATGTATCCCATCATCCTTCACTTTGCAGAACAAAGTAAAAAGCCAAGTGAGGAGACTGGGAACCTTTCCAGTTCAAAGAACAAAATGCTCTAACCATTAGTGGGGCCTAGAGGTTACACACACCCTTTTGAAAAATTTATACTCCTCAGTGCTGAAAAGGTTGATGGCTTTCCAAAAGTGAGCCTCTGCAGCACCTGCCTTACTAAGCAGGAGTTGGCCTGCTTCTAGCATCATCATTCTTTGTCAGTAATAATTGTATCTTAGCATCCCTTGAGTAATATATTTCTTTTTGTGTCCAATAGTTTTGTATGTTATGTGTATATTTTTAATTCTGTAGTGGTGTTCATACATTTTCAAACTGAGAACTGAGGGGATGATGATAACTTGAGCCAAGCACTTGGCATGACTGTGTACTGATTATGCCTATGTTAACATCCGCAGAAATGAAGATGCGGTCAATCAGATGGCCGTTGCTCCCGTTCCGTTGCCATCAAGTTCCCCATCTTTTATTGAGGTAAGATGGCTCCTAATTAGCTTATAGTGAATATATTAGATGGGTTTGTCATAATTCTCTTTTTCCAAATCTAGCTTTTTTGACTTTCAGTATCTTGTATTCCAAATTCATGAAATTTATTCTCTAGGGAATATACCTAAGTCAAATAAAAAGTATTTGAAGCACTAGTACAATTATAAAGTAATCTAAAACAATGTTAAACAAACACTTTAGAACTTAACCATATGATTATTGCCTTCCTCAAAGTTTCTTAAAGTTTTTTTCTAGACATAGAATGTGTCATTTCTTAGAAAACTCTCTTTTTTAATAACTGAATAGTAGTACCCCTTTCTTTATGGTTTCAAAACACTTTAAACCTATGATTGTAGGTGTCTTTAAATAATTACTTTCATCTACTGATAGGGAAAGTGATAACACAAGATTGCTATCATAATGATCTGCTGAGAGAGAGAGAGAGAGAGAAAGAGAGAGAGAGAGAGAGAGAGATGATGACCAGTGTGTCTTCCCAGCTGAGGGAATATTACATTCTCTTTATGTTTTTTAGTTATTGAATTATTTTTTAATTTCAAAAAGAAATACATAATTATTATAACTAATCAAATGCAGATTTATTAGAAGAAAAGGTTGTTTTTTCTTTCCCCACCTCCCCAAGGAAGTTAATGTTTACTATTTAGTATCTTGCCATACTTTTTCCTTTGCTTCTACAACAAAAATAAAGTTGATTTCCCCCACACATCTTGGCCTCTCCACCCCTTTGTCTTTGTTTCTATTGTTTCTTCTATCTGGATGCCTTCCCACTTTCTCCTTATTAATTCTCAACCACTAATTCCTTAAAGAATTACCTTTTTGGAAGCCCTTTCCACATGTTCTATGACTCAAAGTGAATAAAATAAAATACTAGTAATTAATAGAGAAGGTGTAAGTCCTCAAATGAGAGAGGCTGTTCTTCTGACCAGCTTCATCCCACACAATTCCCTTCAGTAATCTTTACTCCGTTCACAGTTAAATAATACTCATGATTCCTTGAAAAGGTAAAAATTATCCTTTGTTCTTTGTGTGATGTCACCTGGGCCCTATAGAAAAAGAAGACCCATTTCTAGATGGTTTATCAAGGATTCTGTTCCTTGTAATTCCCTCATTATCTTTTTTTTTTAATATATTTTATTATCAAATTTAAAAAAGAAAAGAGAATGTAGGATTGGCCCTGGCCGGTGTGGCTCAGCTGGTCGGGTGTCATCCCATACACGGCAAGGTTGCTGGTTCGATTCCCAGTCAGGGCACGTGCCCAGGTTGTGGCCCTGATCCCCAGTAGGGAGCATGCAGAAGGCAGCTGACTGATATTTGACCCTCACATCGATGTTTCTTCCTTTCCCTCTCCCTTCCTCTCTCTCTAAAAATCAATTTTTAAACCTTTTTTTAAAAAGTAGGATTGTAAGCATCACTCTAAACTGTATACTTTTGAAGGATGAAGCTTTTTGTCTTCTTGATCATTTAGTCCTCAGTGCCTAGCACCTAGTACCTGCTTAATAAATATTTATGGGGTAATTGAATTGCAGGAACCATATTTTGGCTTTTCTACTGTATCCTTGATTTCAGTGTTGAGTACTTCTTATTGATTCAATTCATTCTGCTGCTATTTACCAACTATCTACTTTGTACAGCATACAAAGATTAATTGCAAATAGTCTCTACCCTCACAGACCTTAGAGCAGTTGTTCTCAACCTTGGCTGCACATGAGAATCACATGGGAATCTTTAAAATCCTGATTTCTGGGCCTCATCCTCCGGAAATTCTTTTTTGTTGTTGTTGTTGCATTTTTTTTATTGCTTAAAGTATTACAAAGAGTATTACATATGTCTCCTTTTTTTCCCCCGCCCTTGACAATCCCCTGGCCTCCCCTACCCCCCAGTGTCTTATGTCCATTGGTTATGCTTATATCAATGCATACAAGTCCTTCAGTTCCTCTCT